CACAGCCTGTTACACCTGCACAGCTCAAGATGTCTTCTATCCCATCAGTACCTCCCTGTACTGTACACACCAGCCCCACTCATGACACCTGATCATGTGGAGTCTCACAGCAACTAGCCTTCAGATCAGCACCGGCCGCATATATTATAGTTCAGAGGTTCCCCATCCTGATCCAGCGACACACACACCTGCTGGTTTTCACTGCTGCTGAGCTCTTGACTTAAATCCTTAATGGAACCAACAAGTTACCTGGTTGGAAGCTTCACCAGTTTTATTTTCGGCGAATGTTTGGAGATTGTAAGATAAGAAAAACAGTGGTTAAAATGTTGACCTTCCTTGGGTTAAGGATGTGAAAACACTGAGAGTTCAAATTAACCCCATTATCAGGTCTATTTGGAATTCACTGATTTAATTAAGCAAGTGTGGGGATCCCCAGGACCAGGAATAGGAACCTCTGCTTTAGTTGACACATTGAAAGGAGATGAGTCAAACCCTCTGCTGAAAATGGATTTGAAATCAAACTTTATAAAATTTGAATAAGAACTACCGTGTTTGCTACAGTAGTAACTTGATTTTTTAATTGGTTTTAATTTGCAACAAATCTTCTGCTTAAAATCATCAGTAGTATCTCTCTATAATCTCTTTTTACTTCTGTCACACCCAGAGCCGGAGAGGATAAAACTGTCCGGGGGTCCAAGCGCCTGCTCTGGCCGGGTGGTGGTGCTGTACGGGGGCTCCTGGGGGACGGTGTGCGATGACTCCTGGGACCTGCGGGACGCCCAGGTGGTGTGCAGGCAGCTGGGCTGTGGGGAGGCAGTGAGCGCTGGGACAGAGGCCTCCTGGGGGGAGGGGAACGGGACGGTGTGGCTGGACGAGGTGACCTGCAGGGGCAGCGAACTCCACCTGTGGGACTGTGAGCACGCCGCACTAGGGCAGAGTGACTGCCAGCACAGGAGGAGAGCAGGGGTTCGCTGTGCTGGTGAGTGCAAAGATATATTCAAAAAGTATATGATTGAATATATGATATTCAAACACTTCTGAGCCCTGTAGTTCAATCATGTCTGAACCCCATGTGTGGGTTTTAAATATTCACGTATTTTCCTTCATATAGATTCAAGGTTGACTGAGTGCTTCAGTGTGTGACTGATATCTCCATTGCATCATATCATTGTCTTTGAGAAATACCTTATACTGTAGTTGGATGATAATAATAATAATAATGTTGCTTTATTAGCCCTATACAATTTCTTGCATTAGGAATTCATCTTTTCACATACCCCAGCTTGCTCTCCATGAGACACAGACACGGAGAGAAGCCTTGGGTCAGAGTACAGGGTCAGCCATTGTACAGCACCCCTGGAGCAGCTGGGGTTAAGGGCCTTGCTCAGGGGCCCAACAGAGTAGGATTCTACTGGCAGCTGCGGGAGTTGAACCGGCAACATTCCAACCACAGGCACAGATCCTGAGCCACAGAGCCACCGCTCTACCCAATGCTAGGATAACGCTAGGAAAAAGAATAGCAACATATTTTCCATTTGGCTTCAGATCTCCCAAAGCCCAGACCAACCTCTCAGGCTCCAGAAGGCCAGTCCTCTCTGTGGACAGTCTGCATCGTCCTGGGAGTTCTGCTGTTCGTGGCTGCTGCCCTGGCCTGTGGGCAGAGACAGAGGAACAGAGCCCTTCAGAAAGGTGAGCTCGGTCTCCCCACTGTCTCTACCAGTCAGACTCTGTATTGTGTTCGACAGCCCAGCAGTGCTGATCAGGAGCAGGTCAGTGGTGTCTGATCTCACCTCCACAGAACTGGTCTGGCTCTGATCTGACAATGAAGCAAAGAAGTGGTGACTGTTGCCCTGACTCAGAAAGATACACTGTGGATTTACAGTTCTTCCACTGTGGAATACTGTAGGTTCTGTACATTGCATGAGTGCAACAATTCATTTTTTTTCAGTTTGTAACTTTTTTTCTGGTTAGTGAGAATGAGGAATTTCCCTGTTCATTCTGACACTAACCAGTCAATGAATGACATTTGTCCCGACCATAATGGGTCTGTTTTTCATCTCCAATCAGAGATTGCTCAAAGGGAAATGACCTCCTTACCCCACCAGGATGCTCTATATGAGGAAATCGACTACAAGCTGAACCGGCAGGGACAGTACAGCCAGTACAGAAAAGGTTTGCTGCCGATTTGCTTCGTCACTCTCTTCTTCCCAAAGCTGGTGTCAGTTGTGCACCAGAATAATAGGTGCACAGAATAATAGGAATAATAGAAACATTATTCCTATTATTCCAAAATATCCATCCCAACGTACTAAAGATCAAGAATACCTCAAAACTACATATCCAACAACAGGGGTTTATTATTGAAGCTGGATATGAAACCTTATATGAGTTGAAATACATGCATTGTGCAGATTTTGGTCACTGCTTGCGGATACAGTTGATTGAGTCTTATCTCTCCAGGGAGTCTGTCTGGGGATGTTCTGGACTATGATGATGTGAAGGAAGATGGAGAGACCTCAGTTCCAGGTAGAGTCACAGCTGTTTCTGAACATCTGCAGAGCTGATCATAAGGCAGTATATTCTCTAAGGAACTATGATTATATGAAACATAAGTCAGTGTCATTTACTTCATACTGATTTTGGGATAGATAAGGTATTTAATTAAAAGGAACATGAAAGTGTGTATGGTTTAGATTGTGGAAATTGTTCAGTGGTGCATTGTCAAGATATTGATCAGTAGTGTGTATTCAGTGATACAGTGATGATAGTTTCTCAGTAACTCTCCAGGTGACTCTTTTCTCCCCAGAGGGTCTGACGGAGGGTGATCTGGGCTATGATGATGTGAAGGAGGACAAAGAGACCTTATTACCAGGTATAGTCAGGTTATTGAGTAACAAGTATTTCTGAACATGTGCAGAGTTGTTTAGAAAACTGTGTGTCCTCTAAGTGATTATAAATGTATAAAACAAAACTCAGTATAATTTGCTTTATCGTGATTTTGAGAAAAGAAAGATATTTGATGAAAAGAGCATGAAGTGTGTATGAGGTAGGTTTTGTGTTCAGTAATGTGTCTAGTCAACATAATGGTTGGTGGTGTGTAGTCAGGATTTTGATCATTAGTGTACACACATCAACATATTGATTAATAGTATGTTTTCAGTGATACGGTGTAGTCATTTCTCAGTAACTCTCCAGGTGACTCTCTTCTCTTCAGGGGGTCTGGCTGAGGGTGATCTGGTCTATGATGATGTCCAAGAGGAAGATGAGACCTCAGTACCAGGTAGAACCACAGTTGTTTCTTAAGATCTGCAGAACTGATAATGAGAATCACTCTACTTTATCTAGAATTGTGTAACTTGTGCTGAGAAATGATTCAGCCTTATACTGAAGTGGTGAACTGAGTGTTTCTATCTCTTGCAGAGAAAGTCCTGTCTGGAAGAGTCTCCCCAGAACCTTCACTCCAGGGTAACAATGAATACGATGAGCCTTATGAGCAGAACAAGTGACCCCCTGAGCCACAGCAGCACTCCAGACAGCAGACCCGCAGCAGACAGCAGGACCAATGGACAGGGCTGAGGAGAGACAGGACAGGACTGTGGAGATATGGATGTCTAATTGCTTCTCAACTTTAGAACAAAAAGCCTTAATGGAATTTATATTTATTTACTGGAGTTAATCCTTTCCTCTTTCAATTATGGAAATAATTTTGGACTATTTTATCCATGTGCATACTATTCAGGATTCTGAAATCAGAAATCATGAGTAAACATGAAATATGAACCAAAGGTAATCACTGTTCTCGCCCCACACTTAAAAATTCACTCTTTTGTACCTTAATTCACAATCCTGTCCTGGACTGTTAGAATCAGTTCTTTCTTTTGTTGCAATTGTGTTTCATTCAGTTTTACATTTCTTTCGAAGAGGTAGTTTATAACTTCTAGTTCTGGGTGGTGTGGGTAAAATTATATTCATTTGTGCTCTTGATATACAATATGTTATACCTTGTCAGGACAGACAAAGCTGCAGATGTAATAATATTTTCTATTGTTCGACACAACAAAACTAATTCTTTTTTCTGGATGTGTACTTCAAATTCAGTTTTAATACTGTATTTCTGTTCTGTAAGACCTTAACCATTTCATTTAATGGGTATGGTATCTCCCTATAATTAATAACAGATTTATTAGAAAATATACTTTTTATCCATATTTGAGTGTGTAAAATAAAGCAGGGTGTCATATCCATTAGAAGATCCTAATATTTAAAGAGTTTAATAAGTAATATGATTTATTTATTCATGTTACAAAATACGTATTGATAATCTAATTTGAGTTTAAATCTGGATAATGTTTGTTTAACAGGTTAAATTTTATGAATAATGTTACATGACACGTCTTCAATTTTATTGGTAATACGTTACAATACACACATTGCCAATACATATTTACTATTTTTCATACTCTCTGCCAATTTGTATTATTAAAATTTAAGTTCCAGTAAGTCTTTCAAAGTGAAATGTATGTTGGTAAACATATGTTCCTTATATAATTGTTGTTACATTTCTATTTTAAATTGTTAACACCACCGAATAAATTCATTTAATTGATTGGTAATTATAGGTTCTGTTGTTGCCTCTAAGGAGAGTAATACCCCCCTGGAAATAAAGGTAGCATCAGATACTATTGATGAATACTATTGATTGATATACAGTAAGGGAAAGTCCCCTTATATAAAAAACTGTAATAATCCTAAAAGATTATTAGTCCCTCATTTTGGTTGTTGTCACACTAAATGTAAATTTAGATCATGCCTCAAAAGATAAGTAATTGAGCTCAAACGTCTCAGCCATGTTCCTGGCTGGTTCCTGGCAGCTTTGTCAGATGACATCATATCTTCTCCAAACCTAAATTTTTTGCTTCTCAAATATTCACTCCATGGTAAATCCCTTGTAGTTCTGACTGTAAACCGAATGATGATCATATCTCCAATCGGTTTCATTCTCTCCAGTTGGTGTACAATGCTGATTGTTGATTCAATATTTGTTTTCGACCCAGGCCAGATTGACTTTGCTTTTTCAGTTTCTTTTGTTAAACATCCCCCTTCTCCTGCTCCGGGACAAATTCCATCATCGTTTGTATCTTTTGGCTTCATTTACTTTTGGTGTAAACTCCTCGATGTGTCACGGATGTCGGGAAGGATGAACCGTGGAGAGGCAGGAGAGTGAAAGACCCTATGCGTAGTGACGAGATGGGGGTTAGCCCGGGCTCAGCTGTTCAGGAAATGCCGTATAGAAACCTATGCCCTCAGGTAGCGGACTTGGGGCGACCTGGTGCTAGGATCAATGCTGAGCCAAGGCAGAGTGAAAGACCTGGAAGTATAAAGCCGGAAATATATAGCCCCAGAGAGAGAGAAACACCGGAAGGACAGCAGAGAACCGGAAATGAGAGACAGGACAGAGAAGGAGCTTGTTCTTCAGTTATTTGTTCAATTTTCTTAGCTTCATTTTTCAGATTGGCAACCTCTTTAAATGCAAAATCTATTGATTTTTTAATGCTTCTATACTCGCTATTTTGTTTTGAATCACCCATTCCAGGCTGTCTGTGCTCTCGTTGATTGTGGCTGGCAGTATTGTTATAATATTCTCTTGCATTTCCAATAGTGTCAGGTCATTGTTCCTCTTTTTTGGTACGGGGGCCTCTATAGTGGTGTCTTGAGCTTTTTCGGAATCTTCCATATGTCTTCCATACAGAATATCATCCACTGCAATATCTCTTTTAATTAAACAATCGTAGCTATCTTCTCCCTTATCTTGCTGTATCAGTGCTGCACTGACATCTTGGTTGGTAAAATGTTGTCTGTTATTGTGTTATTTTGTTAGGAGTGTGTTGTAAAACGAATGTCCCCAAATGGGACAATACAATTTGAATTAAAGTAAATTGAATTTAATATGTAAGACAGGCTGTTTGGTCTTGAATATGAGTGTATCACTGTATCGACTCTATTTCCTTTTCCCGGAGCTAATTCCCTGGCCTTGAGCTTCATAAATGTCTTTTTCTAACAAGTTCTTTTCTTGGATGATAAAAAAAAAACATTCTTAAGCCAAAATTGGCAATAAGGTTTCATATCAGATTAATGTACATGTCAGTTCACACCCCAGATAGGGTTAGGATTAGCATTCACACTCTACTTAGACAGTTTTTAAGCTAAGTGCCAGCAAGTCAGGTTTAGAATGAGTAATTTCTTGCTCCTATCTGAAATTGTTTTGTTGGAAACTTCTGGACGGTGCGGTGCACAGCACGCTAATTTTATCCCAACACTGGATCGGTCGGATCAAAAATTGCAAACAAACATCATAGAATCTAATCCATTTGCAAGAGTATTTATCGATGTTCTTGACTTTTTCACACTCTTACTTTCTGGCTAAGAGAACATGTCAAAATTAGATGCCTGTAGGGCTTCAGATATTGACTGTGGAATTAGAGATAGCATTCACACACTACTTAGACAATTGTTAAGGTCAACGCTGGATTTTGTGGCCCAAGTCAGCTTTAGGACGAGTGTTTTTTTGCTCCTATCTGAACCTTTTTTGTCAGAAACTTTTTGGTGCCTGCATTGCGCTGTGCATCACTTGGTAATTAATTCATAAAACTGTGTCAGTCAGATCAAAAGTTGCAAACAAACATAATCTAATACATTTGCAAGAGCTTTGATCAATGATTTTGACTGTTTCAAAGTGATACTTCTTGGTTTGGTGAACATGTCAAAATCCAATTTCCAGAGAGGTTCAGATATAGATCGTGGAAATGCTCAGATGACACCCCAGGTAGGGTAAGGGTGAGCATTCACAGATTACACAGACAATATTTAAGCTAAGCTCTTGAATTTGGTGCCCAAGTCAGGTTTATGACAGGTGACTTTTTGCTTCTATCTGAAAAACTTTCTGGGGCCTGGATGGTGTGGAAATTGGATCCAAAACCTGAGTCATTGGATCAAAAGCATTAACCATACATTATAGATTATATTAAAGCTTTTATCAATGGCTTTGATTGTTTCACACTCAAACCTTTTGGTTTGGAGAATTTGTTGACACTCCAGCTAGGGATAGGGTTCACATTCACATACTAATTAAACAACTTTAAAGCTCAGTGATGGATACCAAGTTAGGTTAAGTATGGGTGACTTTTTCCTACTATCTGAAATTTACTTTTTGGAAACTATGTATGGCCTGGTGTAACACATGAGTTCTTTCAGGGCCCTATGCAGACGACACAATCCGAGGTGGAGTGAGAAAACACAGGGAAAAAAGGCATGCAGGAGTCGGGAGCAAAAATGGGGGGCGTGTCCAAAGTGCGCAGGTGTCCAGGGGGGTGAGTCAGGGGCAAACAATCCAGAGGTAGTCCAAACGGGGAATCCAAAACGGGCAAAGTCCAAAGCCGGGTGGTCCATCCGAGACTATACAAGAACCGGATCGGAACCAGCAGGGAACAGGAACAGAAAATAAAACCATCACAGAGCCAGGCACATCCAGGTCCCGGGCTCGCACGATACGGGACTCAATGCAGAGCCCCGAACTGAGTGGGCATCTGGCTATTAAGGTGGGCTGAGAACAGGCTGAAACAGGGGGCAGGTGCACAAAATCAAGACCGAAGTGAAAGAGCTGGAGCGCCCTTAAGGGGGAGGGACTACAATCGTGACACCACGTGGCAATTGCATCCCAAAGCCGAGTCGGTCAGATCAAAAGTTGTAACCAAGCATTATTGAATCTCATTCACTTGCAAGAGCTTCGATCCATTGTATTGTTTCCCACTCATACTCTTTGGTTTGGGGAAAATGTCAAAATCTGATGCCCAGGGAAGTTCAGATATAATAATAATAATAATAATAAATGCTTACATTTATATAGCGCTTTTCTGGACAATCCACTCAAAGCGCTTTACAGGTAATGGGGACTCCCCTCC